CAACTGGGGCAGCTCTCGACAGCCAATCGGATTGCTCCGGCCCTTGCTCTCCTCCGCCCACCTCTCTCAGCGCCGGGGGGGATTGGACCCTATAGCCGCGTCTAGGCGCCTGGCACTAGCCGGCTGCAGGTAGGGCGAGGCTGGCTGCTAGCCCGGGCGCGCTCGGGATCAGCAGCACCTCTGCCCCACGCATCCTCCGCTGCTTAAGGAGGAGAGGTGTTCAGCCCAGCCAACCAAATCCTCAGGCAGATACAGCCAGGAGCCCCCGAAGCCCGGATCCAGCCCCGAGATTCTGCCCGGGCCTTCCAGTGGCGGGGACAGGCTTGTTTCTGCTCCCCTCTCGAAACAGGAAAGATGTTTCAAAAAGTTAGTCACACCCCTCAAGCGCAACAGCCCTTGTGAAACTTTGACCGCAAGTCCAGAAATCATGCCATTAAAATAGCTGTCTTTGCCACCAGACACATCAGTCCGTGCATCCGCTTACCAGAAAATTCCCAAACGTCTCACATTGTGACTGGGTCCCGCTAGATATGGCTAATTTTCAAGCCCTATTTTGCCATCTAAATTTAACACATAGCCAAGTCCCTTTTAGTCCACTTGCAGTACTGCAAAGGATGGAAATCCTAATTTGTGCTGCTGACCAAGGATTCCTTAAATAGCCTTGAATCTATCAGCTAATTCATTGTTCAAATTTATAAACACCTCTCTAAAAAAGCCCAGACATTTAAAGAGCATTCCATTAGCATAACAAAACAAGAATGATCAAATAAAAACAATTTATAGCAGCTTTTGATTTCCTGAACATTGCAAAAGGCTTATTAGGTTGTTACACATTATTATTAATGGAGAAGGTAACTGATACATAGAGAGGCTTAAAGCACTATGAAATTTTTGAGAAGAGGCAGGTGTCTAAGGTCTGTTATGCTGTAAAAGTAAGTTTCGGGATGCTGCAGAGAGAGAGAGGAATGACAGGGACAATCTGAGAAACAAAGCAAGAATGACAGGAAACAGTGTCTTGTGGACAAAGCCACTTTGAGAAAGACAAGCAACAAAAGAAAGTTTTACCTTTGGTGTTACTGGAGAGCTTAATGTTCTGCACTTGGAAAAGGTTGTGCCTGTCCAAGTTAAGAATTTACTTGCTTTTGTAGCTCTAAATCCCGATGTTAAAATTATATAATTACAGGAATATAGGGGTGAAAGGGACCTCAGCAAGTCATCAAGTCCAGCCCCTGCATTGAAGCAGGAGGATGGAGTAAACATACAACTTCCTGGAAAGATGTTAGTCGAACGTGTTCTTAAAAACCCTCCAGATATGGGGATTCCATAACCACCCTGGCAAAACAGCAGAGTAGAAGAGAAACTTCAAAATAAAAAGACGTCTTTTAAAAATTCAGAGTCAAATCTTATTGAGGAAAATAGGAACATAAACTGGCAAGTCAAGTGTAAAAGTATAATTAAGCATGAAATCTGCCTAACATTCAGTGGGGCCACTGGCTGTTCATTGTGTTAAATAAGCACTTAAAGAAGACAAGAACTTGGTGGAGAAGTTAAATTAATTCTTTAAATTGGTCTTTTCTGTAGCTGATATGAAGGAGATTCTCACATCTGAACCATTCTTTTAGATGACAAATGTAAGTAACTATCCCGGACAGAGTTGTAGGTAGAAGAGGTTTTTGAACAAATAGAGAAATTAAACAGTAATAAATTAAACAGGAGCAGATGGTATTCACCCAAGAGTTCTGAAGGAACTCAAATATGAAACTGCAGAACTACTTACTACTAAGTGTGATATATAACCTATCACATAGCTCAGCCTCTGTTCCAGAGGCTTAGGAAAGAAACAACTAAGGACAGAGAGGCTAGGGGTGTATAAAATCATAAATAATCTAGAGAAAGTGAATAAGGAAGTGTTACTTGAATTTTCACATAACACAAGAACTAAAAAAAATCTTAATAAAAATAACAAATAATCTTGCAGCACCTTAAAGACTCACAAAAAATGTAGATGGTATCATGAATTTTTATGGGGACACCCATTTCAGATTAATGGAGTTTAAGGGTTACAAGTTCCCATCAAGTGCCAGCAATGCCCCTCTGCCATGTATATTGGCCAAACTGGACAGTCTCTACAAGTAAAGATTAATGGACACAAATCAGATATTTGAAAAAGTAACACACAGAAACCTGCTGGGGAATATTTTGGACACTCATTAATGGATCTCAAATCCATTAACACTCATTAATGGACCCTATTATTGCAAGTCAATTAAAAAAACAGCCTGGAAGGGAAGCTGCAAAGCTTAATTTCATTTACAAGTTTGATACTTACAATAAAGGTTAAAACAAAGATCTTAAGTGGATTATCTGCTATATTCCACATCCTAATGACATAAAACGCAAAATGCCAGGTACTTAAGAACACTTAGAACCCTCTCTGTCAGCTTCATTTAGCATGGAAACTCTAATTGCCTGTTCTTTTCCCATTTTTTACTCCTCTTCTTTCCCTCTCCATCCCCTCTCGCTGGGTATGTCTACACTACCCCGCTAGTTCGAACTAGCGGGGTAGTGTAGACATACCCAGCGAGAGGGGATGGAGAGGGAAAGAAGAGGAGTAAAAAATGGGAAAAGAACAGGCAATTAGAGTTTCCATGCTAAATGAAGCTGACAGAGAGGGTTCTAAGTGTTCTTAAGTACCTGGCATTTTGCGTTTTATGTCATTAGGATGTGGAATATAGCAGATAATCCACTTAAGATCTTTGTTTTAACCTTTATTGTAAGTATCAAACTTGTAAATGAAATTAAGCTTTGCAGCTTCCCTTCCAGGCTGTTTTTTTAATTGACTTGCAATAATAGGGTCCATTAATGAGTGTTAATGGATTTGAGATCCATTAATGAGTGTCCAAAATATTCCCCAGCAGGTTTCTGTGTGTTACTTTTTCAAATATCTGATTTGTGTCCATTAATCTTTACTTATAGAGACTGTCCAGTTTGGCCAATATACATGGCAGAGGGGCATTGCTGGCACTTGATGGCATAGATCACGTTGGTGGATGTGCAGTTTTATATGAGACTTTGATATGGTGGTTTATGTCGTTAGGTCATGTGATGAAGTTGCTTGTGTAGATGTGTCATGATTATGAGGGTTAGCCAGAAGCCTGGGGATTAAGGGGTTAACTACACCTAGCCAGGTGGAGTGACCAATAGGAATGTAGGTGGGACTTTTCAAACTGGGACAAAGGAATTTGTTTTTTTTTTCTTTTCTCCCTTTTCTCTCTGAGAGAGTTCTCTGCAGCTACAGAGAGGGATAAGCATGTCTCTCTCTCTCCAAGACACCATTCTTCATTTTCTGTAAGTAGGGTAAAGTTTAGGTAGTTTCGTTAGGTTTTATTGTTTTATGGATTGGGTATGGGATCTGAGATCTGGCACTGCTTAAAAGATGTTTTGGCTTTTCTTTGTAACTAAGTTCTAGGCCTATGGAGTTTCTCCATGAGTATATTTTGTTACCTCCCTATCTAGTCATTATGCTTGCAACAGGAATATTGTTGTAATAATAAAAGTTCTTTCTTTTCTTTTTATTAACCTGGCAGTGGTTAATTGTGTGCCTTGATTTTTATTTTAGGGGTAAGATTTCCCAAATGATCTTTCCCCTGATTTATTTATCAACATTTGGGTGGTGGCAGCGGAAGTTTTATTCCCAAGATCTAGGGTTTTACGATTTTGGGGGGAGTTTGATACCAAAGCCTGGTAGATAAGGCTTTGGGGTACACTTGCTGGCCCCCACTTCTGCATTTATCATGCCAGAGTGGGGAAGGAGCCATGACAAGATGTGTGAACAGAGTTGGCACCAGACTTGACTGCAGGGGTGCGTTCCTGGATGAGTATGATGGAGGTGTGCTGCATGGTTACTGGAAAGAATTTGTTTGAGGTTAAGGGATTGTCGGTAGGCGAGGATTAGCCTGTCTCCCAAGGCCTGTGACAGGGAGAGGTCATTTTCTAGGATAGGCTGTAGATTACTGATATTGCATTGGAGGATTTTAAGTTGGGGGCTGTAGGTGATGACAAGTGGAGTTCTGTTGTTTTCTTTGTTGGGCCTATCTTGAAGAAGCTGATATCTGGGTACTCATCTGGCTCTGTTGATCTGTTTTTTCACTTCTCCAGGTGGCTATTTTAGTTTTCAGAATGTTTTATATAGGTCCTGTAGGTATTTGTCTCTGTCTGTGGGATTGGAACAAATCTGGTTGTATTTTAGGGCCTGGCTGCAAACAGTTGATGGGGAAATGTGTCTTGGATGCAAGCTGGAGGCATGTAGGTGAGTGTAACGGTCAGTAGGTTTCCGGTATAAGGTGGTGGAAATGTGTCCATCATATAACAGTACAGTAGTGTCAAGGAAGTAGATCTTTTGTGTGGACTGGTACAGGCTAAGGTTGATGATGATGAAAGCTCATGATACTATCTACTTTTTCTGATAATCTCTAAGGTGCTGCAAGACAATTTGGTTTAAAAAAATTTTTTTTTAGTTACATACTAACACGGCTAACCCTCTGAAACACAAGAACTAAATAAAAACCATCCAAATAAATTAATAGGCAGCTGGCTTTAAAAAAATAAGGAAGTGTTTCTTCACAAAATGCACAGCCAAGCTGTGGAACTCATTACCATAGCATAGCATACTGGGAAGGTCAAAAGTATAACTGGGTTCAAAACAGAATTAAATATGTTCGT